TTGAGTACTTTGTCTATTCATCTCTTGATGGACACTTAGGTAAATCCATGTCTTTTTTTAACACTGAGGTTATGAAGTTGCCAGGTACAGCTATGAGCTTTGAAGACTTGTTTTATGGCAGTCACATCTACCCATCTATGTCTCCAAATAAAGGGGAAGTTCATCATGGGACATACTGTGCAGTTTTTGCTTTTCCTCATTTTCTTCTCAGAAAAAATTCTTAAATGAGAGCAGTTTCTCTTTTTTTATTTTTTTATTTTTTTATTTTTATTTTTATTTTTTCTCCGGTACCGGGAACCAAATCCCCACCCTTTTTTTTTTTTTTTTTTTTTTTGTAGAATGAGTTTCTCTTGTCAAGTGTAGCTAATCAATATTGGTACTCTAATGTGGAATCATTTCCTGATGAGGGCATGTGTGAAGTTCACTGAGGCTCAGTTATTCGTAGTTGAGGAAAGCCTTTCCAGGAGGGTTTAACAATCTCTAGCATTTGCTCAGGGTCCAGAGGTCCTCCCTACAAGGAGACATCTTCCCCCTCATGTCAGGTTTCTCTCATATAAGAAGTGCAAGTAAAGAACAAACTGGAGGGCGATAGAGGTTCAAATACTCACCCAAACTACAAATTCCATTGTTTTAAAAATATTTCAATATCTATGCTAATTGGTTTCATTTATACTACTAGTTTATGTCAGTTTGTTGAAAAGAAAGATTTGTGTAAATATCTGTTTCTTTCTTGTAAGAAATTTTATGATTTCTGTCTTGTACTCCGAGCAACTACTTTGAAAATAATGATACCTGGTGTAATAACTGTTATTTTCTTATGGATTGTGAAATTTTTATTTTTTAATAAAATAAAAAAAAAATCAGTTAACTGATTCAACAGAAATAGCTTGTGCCTGAGCTTGTCTTTTATGTGTCAGCTGATCCTTGCCCCTCAGAGCAAGGTCCAGGCTTTTGAGCAATAAACCAAAAGTCATGGAAACATACAGTGAGGACTGATTGTGTCTCCAGGATCAGAGTGAGGGGATTATATCGAAGAGGAGATATTTGTGTTTGGCTTTAAAGGCTAAATAAGAGTTTTCCAGACAGACTCCAAGTGTGAAAGCCCTGTCAGCCAAAAGAAAGTGATTTCACTTGACTGGACTACAAACAGCTGAGGGGTAAGAGGGAGTTGGTGAATTTTCTTCTCGGGGGTTTCATCCACAGAGGCAGACAATGAGCAATTGGGCCTTGGTGAATTTGGTAGCCAGGACGTCAGGGTCTTATTTTAATTGTAGCAGACCCGTGAGGGAAGGGGAGAATAACTTGGTTTCAGAGGGAAAAGTGGCTAAATTCTGATGACCTGTAGGCTCCTTTCTTCAACGGTATTTGAAAGTTAGAAAGTCAAAAGACTCAAGTATTGTTTTCAGGAGTTCCAAAATTAGAGGCCAGAGAGCAACAGTGTATCATGGCATTGATGTTCTATCCTTTCTTATATATTTTACATCATTAGATAATGTCTCAAGCTTATTCACCTATGTACTTTATTCATAGGCCATATCAGTTTTGGGGGCATCCAGTCAGACAAATTAGTCATCATGGGGAGTGTGTGTGTGTGTGTGTGTGTGTGTGTGTGTGTGTTTGGTTTATAAGTTTAATGCATCAATGCAGTCTGTATACATGAATCAAAATAGATTTTTCAAATGCCCTTTGAGCTTAAAAAATCTTTCCTTTCTGACACAAAAGAAATACCTGCTTTCTCGTTAAAAAAAAAAAGAAAGAAAGAAAACCTTTGGTTACATTGAGTCTGTATTCAAAAATATCAAATACCAAAGCAAAGTTGTATTCACTGTTTAGCTTTTCATAGACATAAACTCTACATAGCCTACTAAGTCTCCAAAATTCAGCCCACTTTTCAGTGGGGCGGTGGTTCTAGAATGCAGATTCTTGGGCTCAACTAAGAAGACTGATTAGGTTGGTGTGGAGCATCACCCAGAAATCTGCATCTTTAGCAACAGAGTGACTCTGAGCCAAGTGATCGAAGTATCAGAATTTGAGAGACTCCATTTTATCCCTTCCAGCCTGGGTGGCTCGCTCAGGGGTTGGATGAAGTTACTGAGTGGCTCAGTAAGCATAGCATAGAGGGGAGGAGCAGACTGCTGTGAAGGGAGAGTCCCACGAACCCGAAGAACAACTCACTACACTACAAGGTAAGTGTTTTGTAGATGGCACATGTTATACAGATCATAGCTGTCTCCAAACAATGCTAGCAGATTAATGTTCTTGTTCCCACTTTTTTCATCCTTTAAACTGTTCATTAGCATTTCATCCTACAAGCAGTTTTTGAAAGCCAGCTCCTAGAAAAGTTTGGGAGGCACATGAGTCCTTGAAGACATTTTCATCTCCTCAGTAATCCAGTTACACTTACTATTCTGGGAGAGGCTTCTGCTGGGTACTTTGTTCTGTTTTATGTGGAGCTGGGCCTCTCTGGATTCAAGTATCTCATCTTCTAAGCTTACAGCCCTGTCTCCTTTGCAGTGTTTGCCCCAGCACCTCCTTGAGTCATATGAAAGCACATATGGGGGAAAGTACACAGAAATGATGTTTGTATAAGGCAGTATCATGAACATACTTTGCAAATATGCCTCAAGGAAATTGTCCTGGAATTTTGCAATCATAGACTTAAATATCCAACATAATTACATTATGTAAGATTTTATGAAACAGTTTGTATTGCAAATATTCCATTCCATGAGCACTGTGAATATGTGCTGTACTTGTTGGAACTTGTGTCCAAATTATTTTTTTTGGAAAATAGTCATTAAGTATCAAGTAGGTCTAATGTACAAAATCCCATGGACTTCCCTTACTATGTAATACAAAGAACCCTATTAAAAATCTTCCTTACTCATTCACCATTCCCACAGCAAAAACAAACAGGATACTTGAAAAATACACCAATTTTATAATTCTATTCCCATTGTTCTGAGCTTCTGAAATCCTTTAATTTGAAACAAAACTTTATTTTATGGTCTGTGAGAATGTGGACTCTTTCTTTCTTTCTTTCTTTCTTTCTTTCTTTCTTTCTTTCTTTCTTTCTTTCTTTCTTCTTTTCCTGTTCTGTTCTGTTCCATTCTTTTCTTTTTATTTTTTTCTGGAGTTTGAATCCAAGGCCTTTGCACTAAACTATATCTCCAATCCTTTTTTATTATTTTTGAGGACAGGGTCTTGCTAAAAGGCTGACCAGGCTGAGCTGGAGCATATGATCTTCCTGCCTCAGCCTTCCCAAGTGCTGAGAATATAGGTATGTGCCAGCACACCCAGTCTGTTTCTTTTTTTTTTTTTTTTAGTTTTTTTTAGTTTGTTTGTTTTTTGGTTTTTTCCGGTACTGGGAATCAAACTCACAACCTTGTGCTTGCCAGGCAAGTGCTGTGCCACTGAGTTAAATCCCCAGCCCCCAGCTCTGTTTCTTAATAACTTCTAATGTCTTGGATTTCTTGGACATATTTTTTCTTTAAAGTCTATGTATCATTTAGTACCTTAAAGTAATACAGTAATAGGACCAGTAACAAAATAACATTCTTGAGGACGAGGCCTTTTCCTTTGAGGATAAATAATATTACCTCAAAGTAGGCAGAAAGAGTTAACTTGATTAGAGAGCACTAAACCATAGATTCTATCCTTCAAGATCAAAGGGGAATAGACCCCTTAAGTAGCTCTTGGAAGATCTGAGATTTATTTTTACCCGACTCCTAAACTAATAAATTAACCTACCCATGCTTCATGAATGAATGCAGAAAAGATGATATTCTCAGTCAGGCATGAGGACACCTTATTACAGCAATAGTGGTAGCTAGAATATCAGCATTTTTCATGTCTATTCCTGGTCCTCATTGCCCCACAGTAATGCAAAGAGGTCCAGGCGACACTTGTACATGCAGTAAGTTGTGTTACTAGAAGGAAGAGATCCTGAATTTGTGAAACCCAACCCTTTTATAATGGGTTGTAAGAATGTCTTCCTTTTGATACAGTGAGCGATTGCACAGCACATCCTTGGAAAGCTAGGTAGCAACAAAGTCCATCAGTGCCTCTGCACATTCTACAGCATATTGATTTGGTGGGAGGTACCTGGAATCGAACTCAGGACCTTATGCTTGCCAGGCAGGCACTGTGCCTCTGAGCTATATCCCTAGCCCTCTACAGAACATTTGAGAGACCTGCGGAAGTATGTATTCCTGAACACATTCACTTGAGCATATTGGCTACCAGAGTGTTCTAGAAAATCACACCTTTTACCATTTCTAAAGGTTATTAGTATTATAATACTCATGGGAATCTTTGTTTATACTAATTTTTCTCTGATATAACATAGCCATACTCAGAACATAGCTGAAGAGTTTTTTCATATTTCACCTCTTTAGGTGATAACTTAGTATATAGATTATGTGGGTGCTGCATGTTTAGATATCTTGAAATGCAGAATTCAAAGATGAAATATATGGGAACACTTAAACATATTCTAAAGTGGCAATGAGATATAGATAGATAGATAAATAGATGATAGGAAGAGAGAAGTAGATAAGCAAAATGGGTTTTTTTAGTAGATTGACAAGTAAAAAATTCTGATCTTTCTTCTTTCTTTCTTTCTTCCTTTCTTCCTTCCTTCCTTTCTTCTTTCCTTCCTTCCTTCCTTCCTTCCTTCCTTCCTTCCTTCCTTCCTTCCTTCCTTCCTTCTTTATTTTGGTGCTGGGGATGAACACAGGGCCTTGTACATGCTAGGCAAATGTTCTACCACTGAGCTACAGCCCCAGCCTTCCTTGTATTTCTTTGAGCAGGAATGAAATGAGATGTTTTAATCATAGTATTTTTTCTTTTTAAATTTTTTTGTGTACTCTGACCAATTATCTATTGGCTAATGCTTTTTATTTTTAAAAGAATCTTGTATGAACTCTGTTAGAAAAATTGCAGCACTTAAATTTGTTTTGTAAGTGTTCTGAGTCTGTGGTTTGCTTTTGAGTTTTGATAATTTCAATAAATTGGAGCTCTGACAAAGAGAAGTGTGTGCAGCTTTGATACAGGGTCATTTATTGAGATTCCCTTTGTCTTTCCCCTACTGTCACCCTAGGAGAATTTGAGAAAATCATCATCCTGCATCCAGAGGCCAGGTTCATCTGCTTTTCTCCTCATTGTCTTGGTAACATTTTAAAACATCTCTACTTGGTTTTGATATATTCAGAGAAATCTTGATTATAATTGAGGTTTTCCAGACACTTGAGTTACCTCAAAATCATTGTTACTGAATAATCTACCTCTTCGCTAGTAATAGGTGACAGTGATGGCTTCTTTACAAGGTTTTCCTACAAAGCGGGGTCTGTTTCTCAACCTCTGCCCTGTGGATGGTTTGCATTAGATAATTCCCTGTTGTGGCCTATACATTGTATGATGTTCAGTAGTACCTCCATTACTTTCCACCAACACTGTTCCTTCTTCCTTCCCCTCTTAAATTGGGACAATCAAAAAATGTGTCCAGCTATTGCCAGATGTTCCCTGGAGAAGCAAAATCAACCTGAGAATTACAGATCAAAATTGTCAGATGACATGCAGATAACACATTTGTTTAACTTTAATTCACTTATTGTTGTTGTTGTCTTAGTAATACAATCAGGTTAAACCTATAACAATCCAATTAATTTCACAATGGTCCCACTGTCATTGGGATTGAAAAAAATCAACCCCAGGGCATATGCTACTTGATCATGTGATTTATACATGACCAGAGTAAGAAGAGTGGCTCATTATTGTTCAGAGTAAAACATCTTAGAGATCTCTTTTGGCTTCCTCATGGCTATTTGACCTACACTGTTGGTATTTTTCAAAAAGTTGCCCATTTGATAGCCATCTTGGTACATGTAAATTAATTATGTGCTGAGTTTTATTCTTACACTTTTGATCTTTAGAAAATATCCCAAATTTCATGTCCCTAATTCTTTGAATCCTCTTGCCTTTGATTTTAGCATATACCCATGGCTGTCTGAGCCAGTTAGCTCAGAGGGTTTTACAAGATGATAATGAGTTCGATGTTGCAGTTTCAATTAGTGTCACAGAAGAAAAACTCAGCTTCATAGCAGCAGACTGAACTGCTAACTCTGGCCACCATGCTCAGCCAGTAGCCAAAAGAAAGATGATAACAGAGAATGTTGCCAACTCGGCACTCCCAGAACTATTTTGCCTGGACAAGCAAAGGTCATATCTCTTTGATGATGATGGACCTCTGTGTTATATTCCTACTGCCGTTCACTGCGGAAACCTAAGATGAGACTCTCATTCAGAGCTGCTTTTTACAGGCAGTGCAGATCACTGAGGCAAAATTTTTCATTTTAGTTTTTTAAAATGAATGAATGGAGCAGCTGCAGTTTTATAAGATATTTAAACAACTTTTAATTTTGTTTCTGAATTTGTGATATTAGCCATATGTTTGAAGTACAAACATTTTATCCATTCATGAAATTATTTTCTAATAGTTTACTTAGAAGGATGGGTCATTATGAGCATAAATTTGCCAGCCACTATGTAATTATAATGACCCAATCACGGAATTTTCTTCACTACTATGTGAAGACTTTCATCTATATTCAAATGAAGATTTAATTTTAGTTCCATTTAATATTTGTTTTGTATCATCCAAACAGGGGTCTCTCCACCAATTTGCTTAATATTAATTTACATGTAGTACAAAATGTAACCATCATGGAAACATAGCCCTCTGCATCAGTACTTTAGTTGAAAAGACAATTCTGCAATTCTGCTTTGGAATATTCACATTGCTTGTGAGGATCTTCTTGTGTAGAATAATGGCTGCTCTTAAGCCAATTCAGTTTATAATCCCCATTCTAGCATTAGGACCCATTTGTTTCTTTGCATTTTCTTCTGGTCTTTGAACTCTTGTTATACTCATTTAATCCCAGGCCACGTTTTTTAAGTAAGGAACTTCTGAAACTTAGTATCTTATATGATATTCTTGTCTTATTGCCCGCTCCCAATTTGTTCCTCTAGTTTATCAAGAAATCCGTAGGTTTTACCAGTAATGTTGGTCCTATATTCTGGAGATGAACAGATATCCAGTTTCAGACTCTTCCGTTCAAACTACATCTATCAAAATGTGATCCATATTGAAAGCCTATGAAGAAAACAATTTCTAGAAACTTCCCTC